CGGTGCATTGGGCCCCCAAAATGATGTGTTCCCCATCTTGGCCCCTTTGAGGATGGGGGACTTACAACCCCAAAAACCCCCCAGCAGGCAGGCCGGGTGGGGGAATTCTGGGAGTTGAAGTCCACTCATCTTAAAGTGGCCAAGTTTGGACAACACTGTTCAAATGCATCTAAAGTCTTTAACTGCCCATTAGAAAGAAAAGTCGGCCCTTTGCTAGGCGATGATGTGAATACATCTGTCCACAGCCTCTCTTTCTCTACTCTGGAAGCCTGTTCTGGGGTGCGGAATACTGTACCTCCTTTTCCACGGCAGAGTTGTTTGGAATGTCCGGCTCATTTTAGTTTTTGCTTTGACAAAAAATTCATTCTTTTTTCTTAAAAAAAAATTAACGGAGAAGAGCAGAAGGAAGATTTTCTATAAGCCGTCTACGGTGCATTCTCATGCCATTTATGTAGTCTATCATAATTAACCAGATACGTTCACTGCTAATGATGGTTTTATAATTAAGGTGGTATTTTTTTTTCTCCCATCGGTTTGTAATTTATGGCATTGAGGCTCCACGACTGAAATTGGCAAGAGATGTTCACTATGACTTGAAAAGCGAGCAGTTTTAATAACAATGCAGCTCAAGTTTATGTTCCTTTTTAGATACTTGGTTAATTAATTTCCAATGGAGAGGCTGTGGTTATTGTTCCCGGGGACCCCAACCTCCATGAATCTTCGGCACCAAGGGGGCCCCTTGTTCTTTTGAGGCCACGCTGGGGGTGACAATAAGACCAATATCCAACTCCACAGACCAGAAGGAGGATGCAACTGATCAGTCCTTTCTGCTCCTCCAAGATGCTGTCTCCCTTCTCATTTTATCTTTACCTTTTGCTTTCCCAGGCAGGTGTCCACCTCTTTCAAGCAAAAAGCTGCAGCCCCTCCATTAAAAAAAAAAAAAAAAAGCTGGGGGGAGAGCAGAAACTTGGCAGGGACCAAAGGAACTGCCTCTGCAAGAGATGGGCCAAGCTACATGGTCTACCCCCGAACTAAAAACTGAAGAAGTGGCGCTGCCAGGAACGACAGCCAGCAGCATCAGTATCAGAAGCAGTAGAACGGTGTTGTCCAAACTTGGCCACTTTAAGGTGAGTGGACTTCAACTCCCAGAATTCCCCAGCCATCCATGCGGGCGGGGGAAT